TTTTCCTTTTGAACAGCTAAAATGTCCCATCTATTCCTGCTCGCGAGCGATCGTATCGATAGCACTTACCTTTAATCGTTCCGTGAGCTCTTTTCTTTGCGCTTCCGTCAAGGTAAGCTTTTTGAGGATCTTTTCTTTGTATCCACTCAACTTCTTCCGGAATTCAACCATGTTTGTTTTGAAAACCTTTGAGTATTTATAGCCGGTCACTTGAGGAATCACATATAGCCTTTTCAGGAAGCACTATACCTCTTTGATACGGTCCATAGTCTTTTTCACTTTTTCTTTGATAAGGATTTTAAGGCTCCCGGGCTTGAGGTCGATCAAGCCAGCGCTGACGCACACAGCCGCAAGTAGTGCGAGTATGAGAATTCTCATCCTGCAATGTAGGACTGAAAGTCTTCCAATGAGAACTAACTTACCACAGATGAAGCGTTGCCGGAAGATGTGATTGCTTACTTCTCCACGAGTTTATATGCGCACTCTAGGACGGGAAGTTGACATATCGAGAAGGTGTTCAAATGTCAAGGTATATCAGAAAGAGAAGAAAAAAATATCATTTCAGCTGCTTCCTTGCTCACATCACATCCCGCTCACATACCGTCAGATAACGTCTGAAATATCACTTGGACAAATCACAGTACTTGAAATAGTAATTGTTACAATATTCAACGTGATGTATGGAAAATGGATGGCTATCTCGAGTAGCTGTCTTTCATTGAATCTCTACAACTCTTCATTCGAAAGAGCAACAAAGAGCAACTTGTGTGATTTTTATAGGAGTAATGTGTTGGGTATTGCGTGAGCTGCTACGCTAAATCAATCCTTTCCCAATATACCATGGTGCTTCGACCTTTTCTTTGCTCTTAATGAATTTTCAATTCTAATGAACAACCCTCTCAGGTAGTTCATTGTGGTTAGTGTCAATAGTTAGAGCACGCTAAGAAAAAACAATGTCAAACATAAGTGTGCACATAATTGGTTGCGAAAGAGTGCTCTGACATGTGACGTGGGTGCTACTTTTGAGCTGCAAAGTTAGAGAATGCAACATGGCCCCTTGTCACATCGTACCAGTGCACCCTAGAGGTAGCTGATCACAAAAAGAAGAGAACGATTACATGGAATAATGGAATAAGAAGAAAAATAAGGTATACTGGTACGATGTGACATCAATTTCACTTTCATTTTCCACACACGTTCAGTAGTGCAACAAATTGTAACACGAATCGCACCATTATATTCTGAACTGTTCTAGATTCTGTGACTTGTTCAAGTGATATTTCAGACGTTGTCTGACGGTATGTGAGCGGGATGTGATGTGAGCAAGGAAAGCAGCTGAAATGATATTTTTTCTTCTCTTCTGATATACCTTGACATTTGAACACCTTCTCGATATGTCAACTTCCCGTCCTAGAGTGCGCATATAAACTCGTGGAGAAGTAAGCAATCACATCTTCCGGCAACGCTTCATCTGTGGTAAGTTAGTTCTCATTGGAAGACTTTCAGTCCTACATTGCAGGATGAGAATTCTCATACTCGCACTACTTGCGGCTGTGTGCGTCAGCGCTGGCTTGATCGACCTCAAGCCCGGGAGCCTTAAAATCCTTATCAAAGAAAAAGTGAAAAAGACTATGGACCGTATCAAAGAGGTATAGTGCTTCCTGAAAAAGGCTATATGTGATTCCTCAAGTGACCGGCTATAAATACTCAAAGGTTTTCAAAACAAACATGGTTGAATTCCGGAAGAAGTTGAGTGGATACAAAGAAAAGATCCTCAAAAAGCTTACCTTGACGGAAGCGCAAAGAAAAGAGCTCACGGAACGATTAAAGGTAAGTGCTATCGATACGATCGCTCGCGAGCAGGAATAGATGGGACATTTTAGCTGTTCAAAAGGAAAACAACTGATGTGGTTTCACAAGCGGGAGACTCCATTGAAGAGATCAACATTAGAAGCCAAATAGCCAGTGCTTTGTTCCAGGGAGATATGGTTCTTTCCAAGTTTGTTATTTCTACTTTCTTTCACCGTTGCCTTTGAAAGTTGCATCGTCTTCAGAGAGCAACAAGATCAGATTGCTGCGGACGTGAGTGGTACACGTTCCAAGCGGCAAGCGTACAACGACAAAACTTATCCTGGCAGAAGATGGTCAAAGGGGGTTCACTACTTCTTCGATAAGGGCATAAGTCAGTTGCACATTCCACTGCTCATGTGCACGTGATCGAGACAGCAATCTTTCCGCTTTCTCTTGTTCAGGTGAGGAGGTCAAAAGTGTGTTCAAAAAAGCGGCAGACCAGTGGATGAACAACACATGTATTGACTTCACGCCAGGCGAAGATGGTGAGTCGAATAACTGAACAAAAGCGACTGTTCCTCGAACTATAGCTTTTTGCAGACGACAGCATTCGTGTAATCGAAGAGGACGGATGCTGGTCATACGTTGGTAGACTTGGCGGTAAGCAGAACCTGTCACTCGGCTCAGGCTGCGAATCGGTATGGGCCTCAAGTTTCTGCGCAGTACCGCAATTCATTCAGTAGTAGAACCAGAACATGACACCTACCTGTATTTCTTATTCCCTTTCAGGTCGGAACAGCTGCCCATGAGATTGGTCATGCACTTGGTTTCTTCCACACGCATTCAAGACATGATCGTGACAAGTATATCACAGTAGACAAAGAAAATATTAAGGTAAGATTGTGTGAATGTCACAGAAGAATTGGAACACTACTATTAATTTAGCCTGACTGGCTTGACCAATTCTTACTGGAGACGACTGCAACCAATAACAATTACGATCTAACATATGATTACGGAAGCCTGATGCACTACGGAACAACAAGGTAGGATTTGCATGGAGAGATAGTTTCAGCATCAGGCAATATATGATTCTTAGCGCCTCTCGCAACGAAAAACCTACTATGGTACCTACTCCGGATGCACGGTACGGAGAAACTCTGGGATCTCCTTTCATTTCCTTCTATGATTTGCTTATGCTCAACAAGTACTACAATTGCACCGGTGAGTGATACATTCAGTTGATAAGCACCCAAGCTTATAAGTGATAGTATTCCAGACGCATGCAAAGGAACGAAGACGGTGTGTCAGAATGAAGGATTCCCACATCCTCGCCGTTGTTCAGAATGCATTTGCCCAAGCGGGTATGGTGGAAAGCTCTGTGAGAAAAAGGTAGAGGTCCTACTCCTACGAGCGTTCTTGAAAGGCTGATGGAAACTCCATTTAGCCGGACGATTGTGGTAGAGAAGTGGAGGCGACGGACACATGGAGTAAACTTGTAGACAGTGTAGGCGAAAACACCACTTTCACTGCGCGTGAAGACTTCAAGAAATGCAATTACTGGATCAGGGTATTTGTTCTTAGGAAAAGCCTGTCTTCACTAAGCTCGAGAATAGCATCTTTAGGCGAAACCTGGAAAAAAGATCGAAGTCAAACTTGCTTACTTCCCTGCTTCACTAGCCGTCGATGGATGCAAGTATGCCGGCGTTGAAATCAAAACAGATCCAGACAAGCGTCGCACCGGTTACAGGTATGCTACTGTAGTACGATCAAAAACCATTGAACATGGAATCATTGAAAAATCACCAGTGATGACTGCTTACTATCTCTTTAGGTTCTGCTCGAAGGACGCTATTGGCACTATACTGAAATCGTCTTCTAACATTGTCCCTGTAATAACCTACAACAGACTCTACTTCACCGAAACGGAACTGGAATACCGCGCCGTCGATTGAATATCTGCGGACTCTTAAATAAAACATTTGCCTACGTCAATTTCAGCACTGAACGCATCAGAAAAGTAGTTTTGTAAAATATCGCACTCTTTGTCTCACGCTTGTCATGAAATACCCCAAATACTCAGAAAAGGAAAGATCTGCTTCTGCTAAAAGGCAAGTGTTCGGTTTTCGCAATGCTTCTTGCCAACAAAGCCTAGGGGAATTCGTCTTGCAATTCGACATGTTTACCCCATCACTTGTAGCATGCAGCGTGGGCAAGAACAACTCTAGATAAGAAGGGAACTCGTGGGAACACATCGGTCGAAATTGGAATGCAATTGATTGTACTTTCGTAGCTTCCGCTACAAAAGCTTCGACCTTTTGTTTTTTTTTGTTCTCTAGAAAGTTGTCTCAGCTAATTTTCTTCACGGAAAGCCAAATTCCAAGAGATAGGGGTTTTCATGGAGTACTCAGGTTGAAGTAAACTCCATGTTCGCCAATCTTGTAACCTGGGCATTTCTGTACTTATAGTATTGGTGAATTCTTTCTTATGCCGAACAGGTTTGTATGGTGGAATATTTTATTACGCCTGACGTTTCGACAATCTCGTCGTTTTCAAAGGCCTGGAAGCATACCGAAACTTGTGAAATGCTAACTATCCTATTCAACACGGGCCCGCCCTTCACTAGTTGCAACCCTGACTAAGGAACTACAGACGAAAAGGAAACTCCAACATTGAGTTACCTCGTCGATTTCCACCAGGGCCGATGAACTGCTCAACTCTATGACACTATGGAGCAAGTGAGACTCACTGTCGCGCACTGCCATAGTGTTATGGTGCGTAGTGCATCACGTTCACACTGTTAACACGTTGGCGACATTGCCCACTGCTGGGACGCACCTTTTTTGCCGCGTGGGACATTGCGTCCCACTGCTGGGATGCGGCATGGGTAAAAAACCAATTTGAAGACGTTTCGAATTTTCAACAGCTGCATATTGTCCATGAAGGCATTGTAGAATATACAGTAGCTGTAAACCGTGCAGTTGTGTCATTGAGAGTATTTTACCGAGGAGACAAACGAAAGTGATTTCCTAGGAAAAAAAGATAATTCTTGGATATATAGAACTGAAGCTCCACATGCAGATAGCTAATGTGATAAGGTAACTTTCAACAATAGCAGATCTGAATCGAATCCAATTTACCACCTCTGGCGCGAAAATATTCCTTTTTTGCGACCTTGTTCCCACGCTCCACGTGAATGAGGCGGGAGTATTCCATGAAATTTCAGGGTTTATCTTGAAAGTAAACAAGAATAGCGAAGCCTTACTAGCTTCTGCAATGAATTCTGACCATTCTTCAATTTTTTTGGCGTATAAACGCCCTAGCATTTATGCGCATTCTTCGAAAATAGGGAAAAACTGCTTTGTCCCACGCGGCAGACACGCGCCTTGTCGCCAGTGTGTTAAAGCCCACATAGCGGAATGTACGGTAAGAAATCGGCAGTTATTGAGATGCATTATTTCTACTATTCATAGATGGATTACGGTGCTTTATCCAGAAACCCTCGAGAGTTTTCCTAGCACCAACATCAGTTTTCGTGAGCTAGTATCGTGCATTTAACATCAAAGTCACAGCCGCCATGATACACCCTTCTATGCTTGCCGAGCGGTGCAACTAAACTTTCCCGTCTTTTGCTAGCCAGCCAGATGTTCCTTAACGCGTATATTTAACTGCCTCCCAGTTTCACCGATATATAAGGCGCCACAAGTCAAACATTGAATTTGGTAAATTACAGCCCATTGTGCACAGTCACCCACTTCCCATACGGACAGATCACGCAGTTCTCCATGGTGCAGACTCGATCATAGAGGCGATTTCTGACCAACTGGTGCTTTATTAGGTTGTCGCATAAGTTCTTATACACGTGTTTGATCCTCTCCTATTTCGTTCGCATGGATGTTGGTATTACGTCATCACGTGTGCGTGACGTGTACATTATACTCTTTCATTACATGGTTCAGTCAAGTCAAGAAGCTACAAGAAAAACGTATCGTTAGTAAAAAACATGAAAATAGAAACGAGTCAATTACACAAGATACTACAAATCATGGTTCATAAAACGTCGATCTAGTGAGTTTTTTCAGCGAAAGCGAGAATCTATCCAATTTTCTCGGCCGTTTAACGAACACAGGCCTGTCGCTGCCTCCCGCAGTAGTTGTCACGCCGAAGTGCTGGTGTTGCTTCTCTCCTGAATTCACTTTTTTATAAAGGAAAATCCGTGCGAAAATCCGTGCTAGTGGGGCAAAAGCTCTGAAAAGTACCACTTCTGTTGCGCGAAAGATCGCATAAGTGATACTGTAGCCTAATGTACGGAGGATGTTGCTTGTTCCCACTGAAGATTCACAAAGCACAGCATGTGCGTCGATGCGGAGCTCCCGTAACAAACAACATCAACGAGAAGCTGTCAACTGGCAGGCAGAGTGTGTATAGAGAGCAACAGCTCCCTTCCCCATCTGAACGAGAAAGGCGTAGACAAGTAGCGAGATAGACCTCATTGCCAAAACAGGTGAGAGACCTCATTGCCAAAACAGTAAGCTTCTACAGCCATATTCACATGGCAAGGATCAGGATCCTCGAGTGTAATGCACAACGTGTTTTCAAAAGAATCCGGGCCACCAAGTCCGCTATTCAAAAGATTCGGAAAATTATTTTACTTCTGACAGGGAATAGAACGGAAAAGATGGAGGCGGGTTCTAGTCAACTCCTTTGTAGGAGGGGTACTGAAAATCTGATAGAAACTCAGTGGCATTCATGTGATTAGTCCTATAAAATTAGCTAGAGGAGTTCATCGACGTCAATGCTGATGCTGTGATCAATCTAGGCAGGCCCTGGGCAAATCATCATCTTCCGAGGGTGGAACGGGCTTGCTTTGGCTAGGAGGTCTGTATGTGAAATGAATGCACGTGGAGACGACGCCATCAACACTGACAGGTGGCGACATCATTCTAAAATACCGGGTAAGGCCCGTAGGAAGTACATTTCACGGTGATCAGTTTGCATAAAGGATGACATTAATGACAATGTGCAAGTCATTTTCATGTTTGGTGTTTCTGAGCAGGGTTCAGACGTCGCTTCCCCAAGTTGAGGAGAGAAGGGTGCTTTTTGAGAAACAGTAGGGTGCTAGACTCTGTGATCGGGCAGCGCAGACCCTCCCATTGTCCTACACGTTCCCGAAAGCTATGGCCGGCGCCGACTGATACCCGTCTGTGGTTGCGTTCAACGATTCAACGGTACTGCAATGGTTCAATAGCGATATGTTCTAGCGCGTGCACGCGCTCCATGGCGAACCCTGAACGCTGCCTCAGGTGTCCGTGCTTTCGCATGCCGCGCGCGGCGCTCCAAAAACAGTCATTTAGTTCTACAGTCTTATCACTGTTCTCATACACTCATATCACGCACCCTTTCTGAAATATAAAACCCATGTGTGTTCGAGCTCCACATGAATGTTCCTGAAACAGACACTGTGTTTACTCACATAAGTAGAACATCTCTGTACTGACAATGAGATAGGACGTATTCACAAACCTGTTAAGAATTATGAATGGAAGAATAAGCATATCAAAAAACAGGACAGTAGACGTTCCAGCTATCACATAATCCCAGTCTCCGAATCCTTGCAGTGGACAGAACTCCCAGTAAATAAAGAACAACATTTCACCAACCATCATAAACGAAACCTGCATGAACACTAGATGAGCAACTTGAAAAAGTGAGCACGACGACGGAACAGGGCTTTTGACGTGAGTTCGGGCGCTCAAAGCAACTAACAGATGCGCAAAAAAACCTGGAACAAGTCAAAGGACTGCATTTTCTATCCAAACGTTTTTTGATTTTTCTTGAATTCTTCACCGGAATATCGTACATATAGATACAGTAGCCTAAGAGGACTGTTTTCACATCATTGTAAATTATCCCATAAACGTACGTGAGACCTATTTTCCCCCCACCCGAAATCAGCATTAGTATGACAAAATGACCGAGTAAAGTCCTTCACCTCAGCACCATCAGCCACCTTTGAGAGGACGCGAAGCGTGAGCCAAAGGGAAGAAGACCGTCAACGCGAGTGAACAATTTCATGCATTCAAGGATATTCGGAGCTAAACATCCGTGAATACCCCTGAACCCCTCCTGCGGAGTCAATTCCACGGCTGATGAAGGCTATACTCACGCCCAGTAGTAAGCATACGAAATTCAGACCGCTGAATAGTTCCTTCTCAACTCTCGCCGTCTGCTTACATTTCCACAGTTCTGCTGTTGAATAAAAACTTGAGAACTGTGTGATTTTGACTTGTTCCAACTTTTTTTTGCAGCTGAGGCACACCTTCCCCCCCCCTCCAATTCGCCTTGTTGGCTACCCACGTCTGTGTAATCTCACACTCACCACCTTCACCAGCATCCGACATGCGTTCACTACAGCCGCAGAGCATTAGATAATTGTCCAACGGTTGTCTAAATGTCGCCAACAGGGTACAGATCGATGGAAGAAATGGTAGTGTCCTGGCGAAAATCCTTTCTCGAGTTCGCCTCCCCCTCCATTCCCCATGCTTACCCGTCTTAAAGTTTCCTCCACATTCTCGAGGTCTCCGAAAGGAAACTGCTAGAGCTGTAATTTGAGCTAAGCTACGATACACAGTTGTGAGATTAGGCCGGCAAATAATGCAGTGATATAGCAAGCAATATCAGCAAACAATTCGGAAGTTCGAATGATAAAATTACGGAGTTGATAACAGTTGCGCGATTTCTTTTCAAATTACGATTGCACTCACTTGTAACGTCATTTTCAGCTCATGATTACCAGTGAAGCAGAGTTTTTTCTTCGCAGCAAGTATAAATAATATTGCACGTAGCGACAGAATTCACACACACAACTTAATAATGAAGATATGTCATCTAAAAACACAAAAACGATCTGCCGTCCAAAAAGTTAATGAAAACGTATCGAGAGGGAGAACCAAAT